GCTGATGGCAGTGACCGAGGTGGGGGCCAGCGTGCAGCCGCCCTGGCTCCGGCGGAGGCTGCTGTCGCATGCAGCCCCGATACGGCCCCATGCAGCCCCATATAGCCCCATGCAGCCCCCATACAGCCCCACACAGCCCCCATACAGCCCCACGCAGCCCTATGTAGCCCCACAGGCTCCCACCTGCACTTGCTCTGGGTGGTAGAGCTGTGGCTTCCAGTCTGGGATCCAGCCCATGCCACTCTCTCCGTTGCCGAATTTCTCACAAAAGGCCCCGTACTGGGGCTGGGAGTGCCCGCAGCGGTGGGGGTCGTGGAAGGCGACGTAGAGGAAGAAAGGCCTGGAGATGGAGAGGGTGGAGGTGACCCCCCGAGACCAACCCTGGGCTGTGCAGGGTGAGCTGGAGTGGGCAGGAGGACTCCCACCGAATCTGGGCTTCTGGGGATGAGGTGACCAGAGAAAAAGTGTCCCTTCCTGTTCGTGACCAACTGGGATGTGGAGACACATCTTCAGTGAGGCCGGTTTCCGGCTCCTCTCCCGTGCCCCCTCGCAGCCTGCCCCCAGGACACGGGGTCCCTCTCACCTCTCGTCCTGGCTCCGCAGGAACTGCCGGACGAGCGCTTTGATTCGAGTGATGTTTCTCCCAACCTGCAAGACCGAACTGTTCTCCTCTGTGTAGGCGAAGTCGAAGGGGTAGACAGCCTCGGGCCCAACGTGCTTCTTCCCAATTATCCCTGCAAGAACGCGGGCACACGGTGTGCCAGGAGCAGCAGGGGGCCAGAGGCAGGACACTGGGGGCTGATGCAAATCAACTGCTCCAGTACGGGCTGCGCTCAGCAAACGCTGCTGAGAATGGAAGATGCTCCCAGCTTCTCCAGTATTTTTTGCTGGTTCCAGAGGCACTTCCATATCTGCTCAGAAAACGGGACCCACCTGGGGACCATGCTGGCCCAGGACACAGGGGTGGGTAAGTGCAGTCGAGCGGCCCAAGTGCAAGTTTGGGTCAAGCAGGAGCCTTGTGTGAATGTGGGAACCAGGAAGGAGCAGGATGAGGAAAAGAAGTGGAAGTGAGGTGTAACGAGGATGGCAGGGGAGCAGCGGTGGGAGGAAGCAAAGTGAAGGCCAAGTGTCAGCACAGAGCACGGGCACGGGCCCACTCGTGCTCTCAAGCTCACAGGTAGGTCAGCTGTCGGGGTTCAGTGCACGGAGGGGGATGGTTTCCCTGCCCGTGCCACTTGTCCTGGGCTCCCTACCTGTCCGGACGTGTGCCTGGCTGAGCAGCCGGGGCAGGCTCCGCACGCCGTCGAAGGAGTTGAAGTGGTGCACGCCCTGGTGCAGCCCATACATCCCATTCTGGTGCTGCAGGCGGGGGCAGACAACAC